AAGTGGTATCTCCAAAGACCGATAATGACTTCCCTTGGTCACCTCCACCCTGTTAATGAAATATTAGGCACAAAATGCATCTAATACGGAATAGTTACATCACCGAGCTCACGACTCCTAACCGGGGATCAAGATATAATGCCCGTGGCAGCTCCTCCCGACCTGCCCTCCGTCAATGCGAACGGAATGGCAAAACAACAAGCATCCTTCAACGAAACAGACGATTTATTTGAGAATATGGGCAGGCCGGCGCTGAAGATCAGCAGTTTTGCATTTTGAGCAGAACATGCGTTGTGTGGGAGGCGACGGGCAAGATAACCCGGGGCCTTTCAACGGGCCGGACAGTTTCGGCTACCAGACCTACCGAGCGTATTGGACCGTTGGTTCGGCGCGGTGGACCGGGCCGTGTGAGGTGGGGCTTCAGCCGTACCCTGAGGATGACCTGTCAGTGGCCGGTTGGTGTGACAGAGGAACATTTCGACCACTGAGGGGCGCATCGGTGGTTTCTTGGTCGGATTCATTTATGTATCCAATGTTGCGCATAACTGGGTTTTATTTGTAGAATTTCTAAGTATGCACTTGACTGTATCTTTCTAACGTGCCCGCATTTTGTATCGGGTATTGGAGTGAAATGATTGGGTGCCAATGCCTTTTATATATGTCCTTCGTTTAAGTGGTGCTTTAGCAGCGAATTAAGATTTGTTTGCTCCAAGCCCTTTTCAGGCATCTGTTCGCTGCAGTCAGTCAAAAATGTCCATGAAAAAAAATGTTCACTTTGATGCCCAGCCTGAACACGATTCTAAACGAACCGAGCTGCAACAACACTGTTACACTCATGACACGTTGGCAAGCTATGCTTTTCTAAAACCAATATATGTAAAACCAATGTCCAATGACTGTTTGGAGCCCACTATTCATGTTCTTTTGCCTGCGCGATTCGGAACGATTCGTGGTGTCGATGCAAGATAGCAGAAATATTACAATTTGCGCAATTTTTCATGTTTGTGAAGGAGTTTATTCCGTCCAAACTCATGCAAGTGTTGCCAGAGGTGTTTGTCAACTAACATTTCGATCGTGGTCTGAGATTATTGTCATTGTAGAAGTAGTCCAATTAGTGGTGCCTATCAAGCAAACCGGAACCAGATTTTAGAGTCTTTACACTGTTTTACTGGTAAAATTTACTTTACTCAATATTCGTGCTACCCATGGGCTATGCTTACACCCACCCGCTACCCTTCACAATCAGTTGCATACCTACTCGTTACCTCGCTTGCGTATTCAGAGCACTTCAATTCTAAATTATGGGAGACTTTTAGGGAGGGTTGCACCAAAACTTGCTCTTGTGCGTTGACTCCGAAAACCCATGCCGGCAATCAGGATCGGAAAAGGTCCTCCTGACATACCCACAGACAAAATTTTCCAAAAATTTGTAGCCAACCCAGTCCATTGCCAACTACATATGGGCACCAATGACTTACGCAAACTGTGTAGTCATCTTCCAAAGCCCGTTGTCCATGCCGTACATATGGGTGCGACCTGTTGTAGGAAGGCCTCTAGTGCGATCTTGAACCAATGCTGCTTAATTTCTATCACCACATGCATCTTAAACGTCGGCATCGACATCGATATTTTGGTTTGGTGAAATAAGCGAAGCGTTGTTTATGAGTCCCCTCGTCAGCCGTGCATTTTGCCATGTTCATACTTTTATTTGGTCCGTTATCGGCATCAACCCGGTTCTTTCATCCGGACAGCAATGCATGCCATATGTCAGACTTTTTGGCTAGAGTTTCCTGCTCCAAATTGACCTCCACGTGGCTGTTAAAAAACAACAACAAAAGGCTGCAGCGCAGTTCTATCGCAAACAAACGTGCTCGTATTGTTACCAGTCTACCCAGCTGGAATTACGTGGTTATGCAATTAAAGCTTGTTTTTGCCACAACTAGCGCGCTGATCAAATCAAGCTGCTATCAAATATAGCTTGCTATTAAGTCAAACTGAGGTGACATGTTGAAAACCCCAGCAACCAAGAGAATAGGAACATTTTTGTTTTAGTTCACGGCATGGGGACGGGCCTCCTCCGGAAGTACGGATACAATTGGAGTGCAACGCCAAGATTGCGCTCGTACACGCGTTCCAGAGGATTAGTTCGCAAGGTGTTCAAGCTTCAGCACACATTTACGCGGAAAGGCGCTTATCTATAACTGCGACTTTGGATCTGAATCACCCGTGTCACATTCCCTCCCTATATTCTGAGCCCAGAGTCGCGTTTTTAAATGAGTCTTCACGTCACCCTATTCGCAATTAACAATTTCGTCCACAATTCTAGTTTGCAGCCGATAAATCACATCTCCGAGGCGTTTTCACTTGCTCAAGACTGTCTCAAACAGAATCGAATTTCACTTGTCCACTTCTATTTTCAGAAGAGAAAAAACTCGAGTCGGAGGACAACAAACTCAACATTCAGCCAGAGTATTTGAAATGGGAGGCGTAGCGTCGCTGCCTTAGAACAGAGAATGGTTTCCGGACAGCTGACTTCCCCTTGCGCTGTGAAGTTCGCATGTGATTATTGTGGATCAACCCAATAGTTTTCGCTGGGCGCACAGGCGCGCTTCTTCAAATGTGTATTGAAATAGTGGCAAGTTATAGCACAAATACTAATCGCTAGCCATCGGTGTCAACAGAGAACGAGCCCTATCGATCCAATGGGAAGCTATTTCAGGTTGTCAACGAGGTTGGTTTGAGTATCTAGTGCTCAGATATAATCTGCAACTTTTTGTATAAATGTTTTTGTTTACGATACATTCAGCCAGGGGACTCACTGTGGTACTGCTCAAGTAGTTACATACATGCCCAAGTAGGAAGTTGATGGTTGGCCGGTAAATGGCTGATGACTGCTGCAGACTTTCACAACTGGCTTATTTTGCGGTATGGATAATGTCTCCACGTTCTTTTAGATGTAGCCGAAACGATACTAGACTATCTTTAAACCAATCTCCGAGGCCTTAGTGGAATTTCCATGGTGCGCTTGCCCCGCCTTCAGAAATTTCCAAAAGCAAGTTTTCCTTGTCAGATAGTGCAATAGACAGGGAATTGTTCAGGCAGTTTCTCGTTACTTTGTCGAGTAAGGGACGTCATAACAGTCAGGACTGTTAGGACGTCCCTAACAAGCACCATATCCGTGGTCATCTGGGGTCGTCTGCTGCCATGCACTGGCGGTCAGGTAACGCCAACGGGTAGGACGGACCGCGCCGAAGACTGAGGCACGTTAGGCTTTCGCCGCCGAATTCTGCAGCTGACCCGAAATCGGACATTCGCATGGTGGGCCAGGGTTCACGCGACAAGCACTGCTAAGCGTGCGCGCTGATCCTAGAAATCCATAAAAAAATGCCGACTTAATCTGACTTAATCTAAACAATAGCGCCTGTACGAAACTGATATCGATATTGAATGGTTAGCTGAGCGTATTTATGCACCCTAAATGCACGGTTTGGATCCGTCCGCAGGCCTTTCCACAGTTTCCCAATCGACTAGCAGTAGGGGTCAGCCAATCGATCGTCAGTCAGCCGGCTAGCTGAGAGCAGCCTGGTATACGCCAGGGCGCCTCACACCAAGTTCCTTAAACTGCAAACACCTGCCACATCGTCCGGTTCTTGGTAGCAAACCGATCATCGCATTAGCATAAACTGAAAGTTTGTCGGGAAGAGCTGTGGTATGTTCCTTGTTGTTACGAGTTCTGTCAGCATCATCATTTTTACTGAGATTCTTGCCGTCAAGCTGAGCTACAAAAATGCGTAAAAAATGTGTCAGACCTTCCGCAAAGTATCTACAGTTTGAGATCTACTGCGTGAGAGCTTTTATTTCTCACTTGAAGCATCGTTCACGCTTATGGTAGAGCACACCCATCCTTTAAAACAGGGAACAGCAGCAAGAGTGGTCTTTGTGATATGTGTATACTTGTTTAAGTTCAGGGTTTATGTCTCCTGGCCTCAAAGATGTGGGCAGATACCCCCTGTTCCAATGTCGTTGGCAGCAACGTCGTCCTATCCCCGACTAAAGAAATGGGAACTCTTTAAGGACATCTCTCATGCTTCGAGATGTGATAATTGCCATCGGGTGAGCGCCTCTTAATGGGCACGAGCGGTAGAAGTCCCTTTGGCAGCGGAGACGAGGAATGACACCATAAATGGGTTTAGTGAGGTGGGGGCTGGTGATAAAGCAAGAAACCCTCAGCGGTACATCAACACTAATAACTCATTTGAAATTTTTAGGTTTTGAAAGCAGCCACTGACAGCGCAGCCACTCGGGGGCATACATTCCGTTCGTATGTAGTGCAGGTGTTGAAATGAGAACGGTAGCAAAGCCCGGTCCGAGGTGCCGACTCTCATTGATGGTATCTGGCTTATAGCTTCTGGTGCCTTGGACACTGAGTCAAAAACTGCAACGGCAGCAATGTTGCTGTTTGGGCGTGATCACCACGTGGCCTGTGTGACTAGGACGATTGTGACCACCACGTGACCTGTGTGACTCGGACGATCATGACCACCACGTGACCTGTGTGACTCGGACTATCTTTTTGTTTCCGGTCGGAGCACGGATAGCCGAGCGCGGCTCTTTGACAGCGTTGTGACACATGTGAACTGTAAAGATCCACCGATGGCTGTCATATACTGAATGTAAGTGACCGTGCTTTCACACTAGGCAACGCTACATAGTTCCAGCTATATAAGGTGAGTTACGTGATCAGCTATTGTCGGTTCTGACAATAAGCATAATTTCCATAGCAAGGTCCCAACGGCAGTTAAAAATGAAGCAGAGAAAGTCAATTTTTTTGGATCATTCCAGTTTTCCTTGCGCTTCTAAGGAGTTGTCATGCCCGTAGCATGCTGTCACAGACGTCGATTCACCACAGTGTTGACACAAGGGACAGGGGTTTTCCTGCTAAGCTGGTGCTGTGGCTATAAGAGGCGCCGTTGTCGGTAGGTCGACAGAACGGCGGGCACTTGCGGAGGCCTTGGAGCAAGTCATACCGATTGTTGGACAAGGAGCTCGGAGAGCGATGAAGGTGAGCCAACCCCGTTTTTGCCAGTGAATTCGTTCAGTAGTGATGCGGCTGATGTCTGTCCTTGTGGGTGACAAACGCGACAAGTGCGCGACAAACGGCAGGAGCCTTTGCTGACAATGCCCTTTAAGAAGACTGGCGACGCGTGCCAGCAAAACGTCGCAGAAATTTACAGTGTGTTTTATTTTCAGGTGTTTCTCACCTTAGTGTGCCTGGTTGCGGGCTGCTACGGCACAGGACTGCCTTATGAATTCCCTTCATCAAAGCCTGAACCTGCACAGTCACACGATGCTCCGTCCACCGAGCCGCCGAAGGTCTACGCGCCCCCCTCCCAGCCCGCAGAAGTGCATGAGCCTCACTCGCCTGAGCGCCCAGAAGTGCTCGTCAGCGAAGCCGTGTTGAGCTTTCACAAGCCACCAAACACGACGCCTTCAGAGGCCATCCCCCCAGGGATTTTCGAGAGCGATCCGCAGTACCCGAACCCGCCGAAGCAACAGCAACCGCCGCAGCAGCCAGCGGGCGCACCTGCATTCCAGCCAATTATTGAGCAAACGCTACCCAATATCCCTGTGGTGACATACGCACCTGCACCCACCGAAGAGACCTACGAGCCGCCCATCGCCCCTGAAGAGGCTCACGTGAGTCCCTCCGCTCCTGAGGAGACCCACATGGGTCCCTCCGCCGCAGAGGAGGCCCACGCGGGTCCCTCCGCCGCTGAAGAGGCATACATGGATCCCGTCGCCGCTGAGGAACCCTACGCGGGTCCCTCCGCCGCTGAAGAGCCATACGCGGAGCCCTCCGCCGCTGAAGAGGCCTACATGGATCCCGTCGCCGCTGAGGAACCCTACGCGGGTCCCTCCGCCGCTGAGGAGCCATACGCGGAGCCCTCCGCCGCTGAAGAGGCCTACATGAATCCCGTCGCCGCTGAGGAACCCTACGCGGGTCCCTCCGCCCCTGAGGAGGCCTACGCGGGTCCCTCCGCCGCTGAAGAGCCATACGCGGGTCCCTCCGCCCCTGAGGAGACCAAAGCCGATCCCTCCGCCCCTGAGGAAGCCTACGTGGATCCCTCCGTCGCTGAGGAGCCCTTTGCGGTTCCCATCGCCGCTGAGGAGCCCTATGCGGGTCCCTCTGCCCCTGAGCAAGCCCACGCGGGTCCCTCCGCCCCTGAGGAGGCCTACGTGTCATCAGACGTCCCCAGACACAGCTACAGGGCGCCAGCTGGCTACTAGAGAGAAGACTGTGCACTGTCACGTCAGGGTCATAGTCACCACATAATGCTTTCATTGGAAGGTTTGTCTCCCAGGTGTGTGGCCATCTGGTGATAGGCCTTGGAAGTAGAACATAACATTGGTTGTAAAGATATTGTGTTTTCTATTTTGAAAACATTTTGCTATTGTTACCCATATAGTTTTTTACCCACACAGTATATTCATTTGTGCTTGTTATATAGAGAATTAACGACTATATTTATGCGCGTGAAGCAGTCTTGTTTTGTCCCTCTTGTATCCATCGGCGTATACATAAGTCACGCATAATTAACGATTAGATTTGTGTTGGCCTGTAGCATAAATCTTTTGGCGTACAATACCAGAGAATGTGTTTGCAAGATGGTAGCCAATATTTGGTATCATCTTATGTAGAAAACATCCGGACAGAAAAGCTTGTTTTCCGTCCAATGTGCGCGTGCTCGGGAAAATTTATGTTCTTACGATCTACGTAGTGTAATATTCTTAACGACATGCCATGTTTCGCGAACAATATGTATTACACAAATGCCTTCGTCTGCTTGGACCTAAAGAAGAAGTTGGAGTTTTGGTGACACCTTCAAAAATTCTGTAGCTGATTGACCAGTTTGTTTTGTTTGTTTTCTCTCTTAGATGCACTTAAGAGACATCAGACTTTCCAGACCTACTCAACTTCCAGCTGGCTTTTTAGCAATATTTTCTGACGCGATGCTGAAGACTCATAAAACGTGATGCTTTCAAACCTGATGAAAGGAATGATGAAAAGAGCCGTGCAGCCATTCCGTCATTTGGCAGCATGCTTGCAGCAACTGACACGTCATTCTAGCTCTGTCCCAATGCAGACCATTCTATAAGCCCTTTGTGGGCCGCTAGCACCGCAGGCAGGAGGGGGGGGGGGGGGCAGACTTTGGTCGGCGGCGATGACCCGGGCACAGTGACTGTAGTCCGGTGTAGGGCACTATCAGGGGGTCCCTTTGAGGAACCCGCACTATAGCTAAGGCCTCAACAATCACCAGTACGACAAATACGAAGGAATCTACGGATGCGGAGGATGCGGAGATGATCGCCCTAACCGTGTCGGGTCCCGACTAGTTCACTCAATATTTGCTTGATTTTGTTTGCAATGTAATACTTCGCGAGTGCTAAAATGCGGACACTGGCAGCATGCCACTTGGCTGTGCCTGTGCATAGCATCACTCTTTGTCTATGCTCCCCTCCCCCCCCCCCCCCCCCCCCCCGACAGCCAACTGCCCCAAAGCCGCATTCAACACACGCGGTGAGGATTCGGTTGGCTACAGATGGTTTTTATCACGTTTCTCTTAGAGGGCCTGGGCCTCTAAACGATGTGAATAACGATCTTCGGCTGAGCACGGGCACGCCTCAGTGTCATTTCATAACGCGGTGTGACTTGACACCAGAACTTAAGGCTTCACCAGTCTAAAATGGCGCTGACACCAGCAAAGGTGTGATTTGACATCATTTGCACCAATTAGCACTGCTGTTAAAATAGTTCAGAAATCGCTGATTTCTGGGCACCATATAGGTCACACAAGCTTTCAGCCATTCTTGTTTTCACTGCACGCTCTGATCAAGCATCAGCGTACATATTGTTTCTCGATAATAGTATCTGAGTAAAATATTGTGTCTATCAATTTATTTTCATCATTCGTTGACGAAGGCAGTGTCTCAACAGCAATGACAATGTCGATTCTGATCAATGGATGGAATGCTTGACATCAAGTTTATTTTCAGGCATTTCCTGATAGATTGAGGGAAGATTATTCTTAACACGTGCAAATGGCGCCTTTTTTACTTTCATGCTCGTGCGGAAAACGGTCAAAACGTTCTGGCTTTACTGCTCAGCAAAAATCATAAGCACGGATGATTTTATCATGGATCAGATTGCTGTTCTAGGCTGATAAGATGGGCGAGAAGGCCATGGCAGGAAGGCAGGTACGTGGCGTTGTGCACGAGACCGCACCACATACAAATGTGACAATTTTGACCTTGGCCTGAGGCCTTGCATGTTTCTGAACATACATGGCGGAAATGCAAGATAAGACGGAATATTGTGCAAGTATGTGCCGACTGATTGACTGAGAAAGTGGGCTACATATGCAAAGAGATGTGGCTGCAGAGCAACATATTTTGTGACCGTTTAACTTTGCATGCAACTTTTCTGTTTCTTTTTTGGTGACAAGAAGGCTGGGACAGACATTTTAAGCTGGGAGGGGGGAGAGGGGACTTTAACAGGGCCATCTTAAGGCCTTCTCGTAGGGGCCTTCTGGGCACAGCTTTCCAATGCGTCTCTCGAGTTCGGGCGGGAAGAGAGAAAGTGAACCAGGACAGCAACCCATTTCTACTCCTCACAGCTGTATCTAGAGTAGATCGCTGGCTTGGACAATGTGCAGTTAACATTTTTCAAAGCGGTTTTAGAGTGTGATGAGACATATGAAGCCCTGATTTGTGGGATAACAGCGTGAAAGTCGGCATGCCATTGCCACACCATCTGTTTTCTTAGCTCGGCACATTTCGGTAACTAAGAATAATGAATACATGCCACAGTGTGATGAATACGGCTATACGGTTTGTGTTATACGGCAACAGCACTCTTCATCAAATGTCTGTAAATTGGAACACAGATCCAGTTGCTTCGTTTTCTGAGCGCTGATCAGATGTATATTACAGGTGCATTGTGTATGCATCATCGGGTGTATATTCGGTAAGGACCCACAACTATGGTTTTTAACTGGACGTCAGTGAGAATAAAGTATTGGAGATAAGGACTTAGGCATCACTCTCACGAAGCACAAAATGCGCACGACATCCACACACGAACTTTGCAGTGGCGTCTAAACGTGACTGTATATTTCCGTGGCGGGAGGGAGGCCCAGCAGGATTGCACGTGACCGCGACGGAAGGCGGGCTTCCCAACATTGCTGATATGCATTGCGATGGCACCAGCCCTTACTGACACATTCATTGTCTCAACCTCAAACAAATCTCAGTTCCTCTCAACCTCAATCCCAACAAACGCCAGCATTTGAGTTCTAGTGGTGTTGAACTTCATACCATTCTGACAATTCCGTCAGTGGGCGGAATCGAGAGCTATCCACATGAGATGAATGATTGTGTGCTGTCAAATCGTATTTTTTACCCGTGACCCAATTTGCGCGACACTTGCAAACTGCACGATTGGGCACCGTCGGGCACGTGCAAACTCAGGCCGCTCGCGAGCAACATAAGATAAGACGCAGCTGAGAATCCACTGGGAGCACCCTCATTGTCTATTCTCTCGGCCGAGACGTCATGATGGAACCGCCATGGCTGCGCACTCGCACCTGCTGCACGTGTCCGGACGGATGGACCCCAAATCAGTCGGTGCCGACATCGTACAAATGCTGTTTTTGACCCAGAACTTTTTGGCGGGCACGACGTCAAAACATTTGAAAAGATCGAGAATAATCAAGCTTAAAATTTCACCGTTGTGCATGGCACGAAGGACGCGATTAGAGATGGAGATGAGAGCTGTCTCGATTGAGTGTCGTCTGTCCTGCAACATCCAGTAATCAATGTTGGATGTCTCAGTATATGAATTTAAAGGAGCCCAGGCAATGGCTCCAGATCCTCCCAGAAAATGGATATAACCCAGGGCAATTATGAAGGGTCTCTTAGCAATCGAGAGTGTCCGGCAGGTAAAAATGTAGGACCCCAGCAGAAGCGTAGATCATTCCGATCAAACAGGAACATCCCTTGAAGTGTTCCTGGTTGATTGAGAGTGTCTGAACGGTTAACAAGTAAGGATGTCTTGTTATTGCAACGGCACAGTGCTCCTGCGCCCATAAAATAACTCAGGGGGCTCCTAAGCACTCGGGAGTACCACAGCAAGTTAGCATATTGTGCCCCTGACAATGGCATAGGGCCTTTCCTCCGGCCCTCCTAGTTCTTCTTGGAGTGATACAAATTATACATCAATGTGCATGACACCTGATCGATCGGGAGTGTTTCGGCGAAGGCACACTAGGGTACCAGTAGGAGCAGCGAGATGTTCCCTGGACAGCGAAATGGTCCCTAAAGTTGATCCAACCACAGTCCTTCCGATCAGCCAAATTTTTTCCGTCATGGGTCCTTCACCTTCACTTGAGGCTCTCCTCGGTTGTGTGAAAGCCCTATGCATCTGGTTTTGCGTCTCTTATACAAAATGCATTCGTTTTGCAGGCCAATCACCCCTTTAAACCCCGTGGCCAGTCTAGATGCGAGTTTATTCCCGTGTTTGAGTGTTTGTATTCACAGAGGGTTCACAAATCAGAAGCACTTTGATCGTTCCAAACAAGCCGGCTCAAATGATATCCGAAACCAAGGTCACCCCAATTTGTCTGTCCATGTGTGTCAGTTTGTTGGGAGTCGCACCCTCTGGTCAACGTGTGGCAGGCATGCTATTTTGTCCTCCAGAGACCGCACCTTCAGCCCGTTTCGGTGATCAACTGGCAACCGGTCAAGTGAGCCAAGGTGAAACCGGGCGGCGGGGACGACACTGCATGGTACGTTCGAACCGAACGGCAAAAGTTGTGCATCCAACTGTTAACGCCTCGGCGTGGATGACGCATGCAGGTTTTTTTAACCAGCAAGGATTGGCGAGGAGTTTGACCACAAAGGCGTTAATGCCAACATCTAGGCCAAAATTGTAGAAAGGCAAGGGTATACAAATATAGTCACAACGCGGAAAAGGTGTTTCCAAGTGCGCTCAAAAGCGTACTTAAGGTTACAATGTTTACGACGAGGACTTTGATCCAAAACCATTCCTGCAAACCACAGGGTGAAATTTATAATAGTTGGTACATGCAAGTGCAGTCGAATCGCTAAGAACAATTGTCCAAATGCGTGCAAGAACGCATTTAGTGTTGCCGCATTTGTACAGTGACAATAGCCGAGGCGCGTTGCAGGTGTTGCATATAGGATATTCCCTGGCTTACAGGGTAGTAAAAAATAAGTGAGACTCGTCGAGACAGCAAGCCTATCTCTTCTGTGACATGCTACACGTAGTTCGCGACTGATGAGGGTTCCGTATACACATCGGATGGATGCCGGTGGATGAAGGCACGTAGAAGTATGGAGACTAAATGGAATGAATGCTGCAGACCCGTACGGTTTAACCTGCCGTGCGTAATATCTCTACGGCGGTTTGCGGCGCAGCAGCCAGCAGTCAGACACAGCAACCCGAGGAGCGACTGGAAAAAGGTAGGCGCCTGTCATATGGAGGTACCGTTAGGTGCTGGTACCGCCTTCCAGGCGTCGGCAGAGCATGGAATCATTCAAGGACGGCGTGTTTGTGCGTTATGAGTGACTGACTTTTCCTGTGAAAACCCGACGAAATAGTGTAATGGTTTCTGCATGAAACATCCTGTTATGCAACACTAACACAGATTGCTTGCATCTCAAGTTGTAATCAAGGTTGAGGATGTACTGCTCCTTTGATTTTGTGGTTGGTTTCACCTTCATTTTCCCTTTGCGTCTCGCTTGTACGACATGGCTCCTTTGTGTCACTTGCTCCTACTGAATGATTACAGACCTTTACGATCCTCTCATACCGGCGTCGTCTACGTGGGCGGACAATCCCGAATCCAGATGTGCGCGAACCTTTGGAAAGGACGCCATCATGCTGCCAAGGAAAACACCGTGGACGACAGTCGGGTTAACATTGCAAAACGTTTCCTTTTTCCGGTCCGGGAGTGTCTCAATAAGGATAAAACGCGCTCACGTAAATTGAAGAACTTCGAGCCACTTGAAAAAGACTGAGCAAAAGGGGACGCTTTAATTATCCAGCCCAGGGATGATTTCGAGCAACACCTTGTGCTGACATTTTATATCGTGCCGGAGACGCGGCTCTGCCAGTTA